TGTATTTATGGGTGTACTGATCATGTTGAATTTCAAACATATGCATGATGGGTGACAATAAATTTACCGTTGCATGAAAATTGGGGATTGCACTGTCAAAGTTAAATTGATTCAATGAGGCAATTTGTAGAGTCTTGTGTAGTAATTTTTTCGAAAATGATCTTGCATCCTCAACTTCATCTTCTCCGGCAAACATAAGATTTGTTGCCCTATAAACACTAAGCATGACGGTGGAGAAACTCTGATAATTTTTTTCAATATGGTCCCGAAGTTTTTTCTTATTTAAGAACCAACAAAATATTCCTGTAGGTACACAGATATTTACAGGTAAAAATTTATTTCTTCAATAATATAATTATAAATTAAAGATATGACATTAATTATAAATACTATTATTTTAAATATTTTATTATAATAAATAGAACGTACGTGATGATATGTTGTACCCTTGTATTCTAAACGCCAACGAATCCTTGTATAGTTGCATAGCGACTAAGCTCATTGTCGTTGCAATTACATTTGATTCTTTTTCCTTGTAGTTCCTGTTTTTTTTTTTTTTTTTTTTTCCCCACATCCAAAATTAAGCATGCAAATTAATTTAATTATTATATTCCCTCAAAGTCCATATATGTATAAAAATTATTATTTTAACAAGTGAATTTAAAGTAAAAAAAAATAAATAAGAAATGTTTTATTGTTTAATTAGTTACCTGTAAACTTGTTTCAAAATTCTTTCAATTTCATTTTTGAAATGCTCAGTTAATCCAAATCTTTGTAATTGACTAACCATGCGTAGCTTTATTAGCTCATCGTCCATTGGATAAACAGGTGGCGCTGCAATTTCTTAACAGTAACACATGGGAAACATAGCTAACGAGTTAAATCTACAATACAGCCAATGAATTAAGCTTACCTCCGTAATCAGAAGAATTTCGAAGAAGAGATTTCAAGTAGGCTAAACTCTTCTTGTTCCCAGTAAGCATAAAAAATTTTGCAGTGGCCGCGGGCGATTGGAATAAAGATCCATCATCACTCAACTGCTTAACCAAGTCCTTTTTATTAATTTCATATGTCCAGGGTAATGCTTCCAAGTATGATAATAGAGGATAATCATACTCCTCGTATTCATCTAATTTCTCACTGTAAATTATTACTAAAAAGTTATATAAACTCAACATTTGTGTGGGTATATATATATATATATATATATAAATTTATATAGTGGAATTAGGCAATTGAATGAAATGTATTAGAACCTGTGGAGAATTTTTTGTCGTTTATAGAACATCTCCATTACTAGTAGACTGAATTTACTAGTAAAAGCAAGACTCAGACCAATTGAATGTGTAATTTCAATCATTCCAGGGAAAATAATGGCAAACCAACGAGGACAGTATCCCGCATAAATTTTCCCAATAAGCTTCTCTGCATTTTTCTCTATATATGCTAATCCTGCAAATATTAATCAATTATATTATATAAAATTATAATTCAGTTATAACGTGTGCATGTCTTTATATAAATACACGTAGATGAACTTAGGTGTGTGTGTGTGTATATATATATACCTTTCCAGACATTGGATTTGCCAGTATTCCATTTGTGGAGTGCAAGAATGCAGGCAAGAGTTGCAGTAAGAGACTCAATGGTGGGGTTACCATGAGCATCTCGCTCGCCCCAGAACCCTTCTTCTGTCTGGTTGTTGAGCACCCAGTTCAAACAACCAGGGAACATGGGTTGAGTCGGTTTACTATCTCTATGGTCAGGGTCTTGAATCATGGCTAACCATGCAGTGTCATAAGCAGAAGCTGCAATGAACTGTTGAGGATTCTCCATCAAGTCCTGCAACATTTCTTCTTTCACCTCTTCAACTAGTGCCTCCATACCCCTAAAAAGGTTTGAAGATATCTGCGCAGTCGACATGATCTGCCCAAAAATTGTGATGCAGTATTATTCTTGTGTTTATATATATATATATATACTTATAATAGGAGTGTTTAGCTAATATATCTATGTCGTCTAGATTCGATGTAGATTTATATATACAGTGAGGAAGAAAATAAAAAATTTAAATTATATGTAAAGGGTGTTGGTCCTATGAAAATGTGAATATAATGATATAAAAATATGAATCCATTGTCCTTCTTACAACTAAGATTTTCTTTTTTGATAAAAATCCCTACTTAAATATTTAATAAAAAGGCATTTCTTCTGTTTAGCATTAGTAAAGAAAACAAAAATAATAATGGTGACTATTTAAAAAAGTTTTAATAACCAATTAGAAAGTTCGATACAAAAAAAAAAATCATATCAGTAGACTAAATATTTATACCATATTTTTTTTTTTAATTTTTTAACGTGAAAATTACAATTTATAGTATACTTAGTATGTAATATTTTTAAAATTCGATATTTAATTTGTTTAAAATTAATATAATTAGAAGTCATGAGATAAATAGTGGCTCTTTTATCATGTCTAAATATCCACACATGCACTACATGGGTTCAATAGAGATGGAACACAGGCTTACAAAGCTGCTGATGTGGTAGTGGAGTTCACTTTGAAAATATTACACGTTTTAAATTTGGGTATTGGTATAAATCATGTGAGATCTAGAAACCAATGGTGAAATATAAACTCATATATTAATAATGTAATATCTATCTTTGTAAGCTCAATTTACATGTCTAGTTATGCGCCACAAATGATATATACTTATCTAAGAAATATTGCTATTTTATGCTACAATAAAAGTAGTGTTATGAATCTGGATGTAATACCCAAACTCAGAATTTGGTTCGAAATTAATTTTAATATTTTAAATATATAAAAAATTTATTTTTAAATTAATCTATTTTAATTTTTGTTGAATTTATGTAAAAAAATATGTTAGGGATGAAATTAAAAATAATTTTGAAAAAAATGGGTAAAAATTTGGGTTCGAGAGTATTTTTGAAAGAAAAATAAAAAATTAGGAGTTAAAGTGCAAATAAAAAAAAATTTACCACGTAGAACTGACCTGTCAGTAACCCTGATGAATTGGGGTACACTGTACCTTGTGGCAAGGCACGTAGACGTCGGTACCACGCGGGATGCCACAAGGGCGATTCGCGTGCCCCGCGATCGAACGACCAAAGATCGATCATGTGCACGTTGACGGCCCGAATTTATTCTCTCTTTAAATGCGATCAGATAACGAGATCAAATCAATGGTGCAGATTCGTTTTCTCTTTAGACATGATCGAACGGTTGAGATCAAATGTAATGAACGACTTAGATTAATGCGAGGTGAGTATAAATATTTTGCATCACACCGAACCCGAAACCTATCCGCCAGTTTACTGCCAAAGAAGAAGAACAATTCGCCGGAGAAGGGAGCTTATCGCCGACCGCAGCCGCACCAGAGCCACCTCTGACTGCCAAAAAAAGTAAAAATTCTCTTAACCACTCAGAACTTGATTCCGAGCACCCTCATGGCCAAATCGGAGTAAAAGGGATGGTAGTTGAGCCAAAACTGTAGGCGAAACTTGGTAGAGCTGCCGTGACCAAAGTCCCAAAACCTCTCCAATAAACCTCTTTTCGATTCCCGTTTCATATGATTTTTTGCCATTGTGTTCAACATCTTTTTCTGTGAGGGTTGACCGAAGAAAGAATCTCTGCTGCGAAGGAGAACCGATAGAGTCGCACTTGAAAGTCCCTCATCGGTGAGTTCGGTTTTCTATGATTTTTCGATTAACGAGACCCCTAACATTTTTTTTTGCAGGAATACGACCAAACTGCCCCAAAAATGAGAGTTAGAATGCATGAATATGAGTTTTCATAAGTTATTGTTAGAAAAGACTTGTTATACAAATATAAAATAAATGACTTTCTTTATAGTAAATAAATTTATATTAAATTAAAGGCTCCATTTGTTATTTTTCTGATTTTTACCAATCTTCAGTTTTCAATATCTGTGATTAGTGTGATATTCTTACTGAGCTAGTGTAACTCATGCATTCTTTAACTATTTCAGATCAAAAGTATCAAGATTCAGATCTCGATCAACAAGAGAGTTGTGAATAGTTTACCACCCGAACTCCCTTCAAAAACTAGTGAAGGTCGTCGTAGGATTACTTAGTTATTTGACTTTCGTTTATTTTTTTAATTTTCGTTTGTTCTTTTAGAAGAGACATTTTCGTAATCTTATTTAGCATTCTAAAGTATTGTGTAAAGAATGTAAACCCTAACTCTATTATTTCGCTTCCATATTTAAGTTATAAGTTTATTTCTATTTAAGTTTCGGACCTTTACACTGGACTTAGTCGATGAAGAAATAAAAGAAAAAGGAAATATTTGAAGAAGAATAAAAATATGTATAAAAATTACAGAGAAATTAAAGTTTGAATTTGATTCATATAGATTTTGGATATTTTATTACAATATTTTTTTATAAACTTTATATCTCACTAATGTAAAAATCGCTAGTATTCCATTTATTGACGGCTACATGAAGTCCCTAATGAGCTCTTTATTATTTTTTTATGACATTCATAACTTATATCTACGAAAAGAGATTTAAAAAGAGAATATAAAATTTTATAGTTGCAAAAAAATTAGAGATACAAGAAGAAAAATTAGAGACTTTAATAATGATTAGGGTTGATTGAACTCAGAAGAAGTAAAGAAGAGTTGTATTGATTTGAGAATAAATTTAGAGAGAGTGTCGATTGTGTTAAGAACTATAATTGTTAAGATTTTTATTATAGAAGAGAGGAGATGGAGTTTTATTGTGGAAAAAGAAAAAAGAACCAATTGCTTAAGGTGTTGATGACAGAATAAGGAAAGAAAAACAATTTAAGTTGAGAGATAAAAAAGTTACGGGGAGAAGATATAAATGGAGGGAAAAATTGCATTGATGGATATCATCTATTAAGAACTTAAGCTTGATTTGAGAAGAAATAAAGGAAGAATGACTTTATGGTCCCCTTAATTCTACTAATACTGGTTGGTCCAGACCTTCTTCACTTTGAGCTGACAACATTTAACTTTTTAATGACCTCGAAGGGGTAAATCTAGTCCATAAAAGATGAATATAATAACTTATTTTTTGAATTCCAATTATAAAAGTAGCAATAAATAAACTGTTCATTTATATTTGATTTGATTGAGAAATCCATCATGTAAGCTTAATCGTAATTATATAAATATATTAATCAACACATATAATCCTAACTAACGTGGATGTTAATTTTATACTCTCACAACTTGAAAATCATTAGTGTTAAGATCACAAAGACTTGGGAGATGAACCAAAAATCTATGTTTATAAGGTGATTTAGACTTAATAAGCTGAAAGATATTTTCTGACAAAAGCACAATTAATGACCACGTAATACTATTAGGGAGTCTAAACTCTTGTCAATTAGATTTCAATTTTGTGGATGCCAAAGTATGTATAACTTTCATTCTTAGGTTTATTCATCTTTATTCTTCATGACGATACCTTGTAGGTTTATACATTTTTCTCATTCTGCCAACGTGATCCCTTTTCATTTATTTACTTTTACCCCATAGGCTTATCCTTCATTTTTATTTCTTTTTCCCTCTCATATCTTCTACTTATCTCCTTTTCTTTGCATTTGTTGTACTCATTATCTTAAGATGTGCAAGAATTTGATTTCTTAGTATAGAGGTACATTAGTTGTTATAATGATTTTGTAAAAAATAAAGAAAAGTGTGAAGGAGAACCAATCACAAAATCATTCTCAAGATAACATGTTATATATCTTGGTTCGATTTATCATTATTGTTTTTTGCATTTATTATAGCATGAACTTTGTTTTTAAT